GTATTTCATAATAAAAAAAACTTTCCTAGTCCAGTATGATGGTCCGTACCTTTAATCCCTGCAGAGACAGAGGCAGAGGCAGAGGCAGAGACAGAGGCAGGTATTCTTTGAGATTGAGGCCAGCCTTGTCTACATAGCGAGCTCTTTGACATCTGGGGCTACAGGGAAATCCTGCCTCCAAAACAAGAAACAAACAAAAACGCATTTCTAATTTTTTCCCCCATTCCTGGTATCATTGTCATTCATATTGTTTACACAAAGCATATTTAAGCTTACACATGTACACGCCCATGCCCCACATGCACACATCCATGCCCCACATGCACATGCATAAACATAAACATTATTACTATTATTTTGAACAAAGTGTTAGGTCAATTGAGAATAAATAAAGGAAAAGTTTTAATTTTACCCCTACTTATTCTTTCTTCATTATCTTTTAAAAATAATGAATTTCTCACCCCCATAGTTCTCTCTGCAGATCGTTTACCATTTCTTGCAAGACAAGTCTTTTTCCCATAAATTTCCTCAATTTTTTTGTTTGAAAGATTATACTTCACTTTTGAATGGTATAGACCTATAGGTTGGTGGATTTTATAAATCAACCCTTTAAATATTTTATGCCCCTCTTGTTTCCATGGTTTCTGAGGATGCTAGTTACTGTTCTTGTTTTTGCTCAATATGTAAGTGTTTTTATCCTCCTTTAGCTTCTTTGAAGAGACTTTATTTTTTATTTTCTAAAGTTTCAGTATGCTTTTCCTCAGAATAGTTTTTTTTGTTGGAGTTTTTCCTGATTTGTGTTCTGTGAGCTTCCAGGATCTGTGGTTTGGTGTCTGAGTATTAGTTGGGAGAAATTCTGTAATTACTGTCTCCAAGTTTGTTTCTTTGTATGATTTCTTATGATATGTCTCCTATACCTTTTGTGGTTTTTCTACCATCTCTGGATATTTTTTCCCTCTAATCTTTTCTTTCTTTCTTACTTCCCCCAGTTTGAAAGTTTCTATCCGTAATAGCCTTAAAGCTCAGAAATTCTTTCCTCTGCTGTGCCTAGTGTGTTTATGGGTTTGCCAAAGGCACTCATCGTGTCTCTTGCAGTATTTTATATCTCTGACATTGGTATTTCATTCCCATTCTGTACTTATCCATTTGTTTTTGTGTAATGTCTAATTCTTTTTTCCATTAACACCCCCTAGCCTATAAAGCATAGTTCTTTTAAATCTGGTCTGATAACTGTAACATTCCTATTATGCCTGACATTCATTCTGATGCTTGTTCAGTCTCTGATAGCTGTTTGATGTTCTGAGTAGACTTGATGTATTGAGTGAAAGAGACTGCAGTAAGAAGACCTTTGGTATTGTGGTGGAGAGGTATGGGGGAGGGAAAATGTTCATAGGCTTGTGGGTATGGCTGTGTCCTCAGAGAGCCTCTGCCCTTGAACTGTGGACTTCACATGTGCTTGCTTGTCAGTTCCCCTACCCTGCATGGAGCAGAGTGACCAGAGTTGGCTGGAGTTTATATTCTCCTAATCCCAGGTAGAAGGAGATGGAGTTAGGTTTTTCCCTTCCCTCAGGTAGTTTAGGCTCTGCTAAAACCCCAATGGGTTAGTTTATGTAAATGTACTCTCTCCTGAGAGCAGGCCTCATTGAGAAGAACATAACAAACGCTCTGGCATATTTACAGAAGTTTCTTTACCCCACTGGTTTCTGGAAGCTCCAGAGTTAATGGATCCTTCTTAAGACTACATGTGCTGAGTCTTAACTCTGAAACTTGTCATTCTGAGCCTCCATAATTTTCTCAGTTACTATTTAAGTTTTCCTTTCTAACACTGGTTCCTACAGGAATTTATCCTTGTGGATTTCTGTTGCAGTTGAGTTGCAATTTTCGGTATTTACCTGCTTGTTTCCACTGTGGGGGACAGCAGTTTGCCTCATGCCTTTGCTTCTGCGATACATCCAGAGATGATTTACCAATTGTTAATTGTTTAGCTTCTTATGTGTTGGGATAAGTGGTGGCTTGTAAGCAACTTACTTGTAGAAATCTGTAGTAACTTGACAGGCATGGTCATTTCTGAAATGCAACTGAATCAGCAATGTTATTTTCCTAGGGCTTCTTACCTTGGGTGCTTGGTAAGAAGACACCAGAATGAACTAAAAATTCACTGAACCACACAAAATGGCATATTTTTTAAACTATCTTTTAAAGATAACATTTTACATGTCAATATAAAAAGTTTCCCAAGTGTATAAGACTAGCCACATTTTTATGACTCCATTCCAAATTTTTTTATACCTTACTTATTATTTAGTCCTCCTGGCTAACTACAACTTTGCCCTTCTTATCAGCACCTCCTCTGATTCTCTTAGCACAACACATCTCCAGTCTCAGATAACTACCATTCTATTATCTAGTATCCTTGATACAAATGACAGATTGCCTTTTCTTTTAAGTTGAATAATTCTGTTGTATGTGTGGACTAGATAATGAAATATTGCTCCATTTATCCAATCATCCGTTGATGGACACTTAGTTTGTTTTCCTAACTTGACTTTTGTGCACAGTGCTGCTACAAACAAGAATACAGATACTTCTTTGACATATTGATATCAGTTCCTTAAGTTATATGTCTAGTATTGGAGTTGCTGGATCATATGGTAATTTCATTTTCAAATTTTTGAAGAACTTTCATACTGCTCTCCATAAAAGCCAGACTAACTTCTACTCCCACCCATAGCATGCAAGGATTCCCTTTCCCCCATATCTTTACCAGTATTTGTCACCTTTAGTCTGTGTCCTAGTTATTTTCTAATGCTATGATAAAACACTGACCAAAAGCAACTTGGGGGAGGAAAGAGTTTATTTTACCTTACAGTTCATTATGGAGGGAAGCCAAGACAGAACTCAAGCAGGCAGGAACATTGAGACAGAAACTGAAGCACAGACCATGGAGGAATGTTGCTTACTGACTTGGCTGTCTGGCCCATGCTCAGACTGCTTTCTTATACAACCCAGCACTGGCTGTCCAGCAGTGGTAGAACCTACAGTGGGTTAATTCAACAATCAAAAAAATGCCTCACATACATGTCCACAGGCCAGCCTGATAGAGGAAGTTCCACAGTTGAGGTTCCACCTCTCCCAGGTATGACAGGCTGACAACCAAAGCTGCCTAGCACAGTCTGCTTGGCGATAACCATTCTGACTGGTGTGGGGTGATGCTGCTTAGTTGGGTTATTTTGTATTCACTTATGATTATTGATATTGATAAAATTTTCATGTACCTTTTGGTTGTTTATATAACTTTTGAGAAATGTCTGTTTCTTAACATGTATTTCTTAAAATGTCTCCTGCTCATTTTAAGTCATATTATTATTATTATTTTTTACTCTGTTATCAAATTGTTTGAGTTCCTTAAATGTTCTGGGTTTCAATGTCTTGTAAGAAATGTATTTTGATAGTTTTAATTTTGAGATACTTTCTAGTCTTAGTCACAGAATATGTTGATGATAATTAATAAATTAATTTTACTTTTCAATTTTAAAGAAATATCCTCATACCCAAAGTCATCTTATGGTTCTTTCTATAGATTCAAAGTCACATGCTATCTTATCACCTACCAGCTATTCTCAGAGAGAGGCAGTGGACTTTGGCTAACAGTAAGAAGATTAATGGAGAGTTCTAGCTTATTCTTTTATTTGTTTTATTGAATTTTTGTGTATGTCATATAGAAAATCTCAATCAGTCTTAATCATCTTTGTATCCTCATCCCTACCTGCACCCTCCCACAGTTCCCCCGCTCCACTGGAACCCATATTCTCTGTCATCCCTGTTAAGACCCTCTGCATCAAGTCAGTGTACTAGGTTGTTTTCCAGTGCAAGTCCATCCACTGAGGTCTAGTCAGCCTATCTCGAGTCCTGTCCCTTGTTTTAGGAAGATCAGCTCTTCTCACATAGCATCAATCAGTTGCCAATATTTCTTCAAATAAGATTGGGGTCTGCTGTTCATTTTCCCAGTTCTATGCTGGGTTTTTGTCTGCCTGAGTTTACATGGGACTTATGTATGCTGACATCATTGCCATAGAACGTATGAGCAGGTTCCCAGGAGCTTGTAGGAGTCTGTTTCCATAATGTCCTGCACCTCCTCCCTGGCTCTTACAGTCTTTCCGTTCACTCTTCCATGATGGTCCCTGAGCTTTGGGTGGGTGAAGTTTAATAAAGGAGTCTTGTCCAAGGACCATTATTCAGCAGACTCTTGATCTCTATGCTTTGGCCATTTGTGACCTTTTGTGTTCCTGGCCCTCCTCTGAAAGAGGGAGCTTCATTAATGAGAACTGAAAGATTCATTAGTATTCTCTTCTTTACCCCTGTTCTATGTTCCATTAGCCTTGGGTGTAGCGGTTGCATTGTAGATGTGTCACTTAGGCCTGGGCACTTCATAGACAATGTCCATGTGTGACCAGTTGTGGTACTTTAGTGCCAGCTTCAAGACCAAATAACCACATCAGTGGCCAGCACAGCATACAACATTGGTGCAGTGGTGTTATTTTTATCTTGGAGGCAATCAACAGCTACCTAATTGGGCTGAAAGCTCACTCAGTGGGAGGAAACTCAAGTGTGGTTTTATAAACATAACAAAATACACATGGCTGAAGTGGTCATAGATCTTAGAGAAAACTCCAAGACTGTCACATCCCTAGACTAATGTGATTTCTTACTATGTGATAAATATGTATCCTTATATTTACAGACAAATATCCCAGTCACCACTCATCAAAGAAGCTCATTATGCAGCAGTTGGAGACTATCTTATTTTTTATAATTGCCTTTCAATAGACTATGATTTCACTGGAGTGTTTGGGAGCTGAACTACTTATTATTAAGTTCATGAAAACTCATTAGGAAACATAAAATTTTATGAATAAGATGCCGTTATAGCATAAAAGCCGGATTCCTAAGTATTTCTAGGAAAAATTAATTCACTGAATGTTTTTCTTTTCTACCCATAGGGTAAAAGTTGGATTGTTAAAAGAAGTTATGAAGATTTTCGAGTACTTGATAAACATCTTCATCTGTGCATTTATGACCGGCGATTCTCCCAGCTCTCAGAGCTTCCCCGCTCTGATGTCCTAAAGGACAGTCCTGAGGTAATCATTTCATACTTTTCAGAAGTAATCACTACATTACAGACTAACATTTTTGTCAGTATAGAATAAAACCTCATGTTGAGCTCTTAGGATCACTCCTAGGATTGCTTATTTCATAAGAGAGGTGTTACTAGGATGTTCAGAATTCATCTAGAATTAGTGAATAGTTTGTAAGTTTGGGGAAACCTCATAATGATAATATAAAAGCAGGCAAAATCCAAAGCTACAAAAAAAGGTTTATTTTACTAATGAAGAAATCTGTATCGAGATGGTGCTCTTTGATTAGTTTTGGTGCTAGGCTGTGTGTCTATGTACTCTTTCACTTCTGCCAGTATTTTGTAGTAAGAACTGTAAAAAAAAAAATTTAAGCATTTGTTTAAAGAAGAAATTCTTCATAATATCAGTAACAAAAAGTGTAATTGAACCTGGACATGGGTACACGCCTATAATACCAGCCCTCAGGGAGCAGACAGAGGCAGGCAAGTCACTGAGATAGAGTCCAGCCTGGTCTACATGGTGAGTTCCATACCCGCTGAAAAAAAGAAAAAAAGTATAATTGAAATAAAAATTATGATAAATATTTTAAAGTAAATGAAGATTTAGGAGAAGACAAAATAAAAACTAAACTTATGTAAAGGATGACTGCAGAAGACAAATAAGTAGAAATCTTATAGGCAAACACTGAACAAACAAAATAACTGAGAAGGACGTTGCAGAAGACCTTTGAAAGTAAGATTACTCTCTTCTCAGGGAGAATAAGCCTGCTACAGCCACGAAATGAGAACAGATGTTTTGTAAAATAATCAGAGATCTTGGAAACAAAATATCATTTACATTAAAAATAGACCTGAGTAACTGGACTACATTCAGAATGGACTGGGTCATCAAAGTCATTTATAAGACTATATAGCTCCTGAAAGGAGCAGAGAGTTAAGCATTTGTGAGAGAACATGTGAAATTGTGAAGGATGGATCCAGAGCAGTTCTTACTCATAGGAGTTATAGGAAGAGAGGGAGTGTATGTAAGAAAATAGTTTGAAAAAATTGGTCCCTATTAGCAATTTGGGTAACCCCTTCAGAGGATGGCGTGATAAGAATAGGAGGTAGGAACTGGCTAGGCAGTTAGGGTAAAAAGACCCCAAAGAAATGTAGCCAGTTTCTTGGCTAAAACTCACAATGTCCTTGGGCCTGTTAGCAATATACTCTCTTTCAAAGGCCAAAAATGTCCAAAGTATTTGGGAGCTTGTATCTAATCCTTAAAAGATTTTAGGGTTATCTCTTCAGAGGGGGGAATGTTGGAGGGGAGGGAGTGGGCATGGATTTGATCAAAATACCTTATATGCATGTATGAAATTCTCAATAAGGTTTTTGTAAAAGTTAAAAAAAATTAGTATTAAAAACTCTTGAGAGCTAAAGAAAACTTTTCAAACTCAAGGGGTTCATTAAGTGCTACCATATAATGAGTAAAAAACCTCATATACTCTTAGTTAATTTTCTGTTGTTATAACAACAAAATACCCTAACAAAACTTAAGAGAGATGTATTTTGACTTATGCTTTCAGAGGGTTACAGTCCATTATGTCAGGGAAGACATGGCAGCAGGAAGGGAAGACAGGCAGGGGCCTGGGTGGTCACATTGCAGCTGCACTTAGGAAACCTAGGGTGAAAAGGAAATGGGTTTGGGCTACAAAGTCTCAAGTTATGTCCTCAGTGGCCCTCTTCATCCAACAAGGCTCTCCCTCCTAAAGGTTCTACAACCTTTCCAAATAGCACCACCAGCTGGGAGCCAAGTGTTCAAACACGTGAGATTATAGGAGATGATTCTCCCTGGTCCTTGTAGGCTCATAACAGTCTCTTGATGCAAAATGCATTCGATCCATCTTGAAAAGTCACATAGTCTTTAACAGTCCCAACATTGTTCAAAAGCCAGTCTTCTGAGACCCAAGGGGCTCTCTTGACTGTAAATCTCTCCCCATGTAAAATCAAAAAACCATATTATTTACTTCCAACCTATCGTGGCACAGAGTATGCATTCCCATTCCAAAAAGGGGGGATGGAGCATAGCACAGAAAGATTGGACCAGAGCAATAGCAAAACCCATCAGGGAAAACAGCAAATATTGCAGCTCCATATGCTGCAACTGTGACTGGTAATGGAATCATCTCAACTACACAGGACTTAGGTAACTCCATCCCTTCAGCTCTGCTGCCTGTTGCACCTATAGTCTCTCTTTGGTTGCCTCCACTCAGTGTATGCAGCATTCCTTAGTGGACATCCTGGGGTTCTGGCCTCTCCAGTATCCATTGAAACATAGGCTTCACTTTTGCAGCTTCACACAGTGGCCACGCAGGTCCTCTTGCAAGGACTCTGACCCTACTACACACTGCTTGACCTCAAGTGGTCCTCAGGAACCATAGAGAAAGACTCCCTCAGTCTTTCATCTTTCATGCCTGTGAAACTTGTACGATGAATGACATTATCAAATTCTGCCACCTCAGGCTGAGCCTGTCCTCCTTCAAACACAACTTTTTAGGAATTTTTTTTAGTTACATTCTTTGATATTTTACACATGTAGGCAGTGAAATATGATCACACACCCCATTTCCTTTTTTACCTCTCTTACCATCTTACTTCTGCTTCCAAACTCCTGTTCCTCTTAACTTCATCTCTCTCTGTCTCTTTAAAAAAAAAATAACCCACTAAATCTAATTAGTACTGCCCATATGTGCATGGATATAGGGCCTTTCACTGAAACATTCGAAATCTACCAGTGGCCACACTCTCCAAGAAGAATGATTTTCCTTCCCTTAGCAGCTATCAACTTCTCATAGCTCCTCAATAGGGGGTGGGGCCTGGAGGTTATTTCCTTCAGCTATGTGGGAATTTTCACTGGTTTGATCTTGTGTAGGTCTTGCACAACTAATCACAGCTAGTGTGATGTGTACAATCGCCATGTCATGTCTAGAAGGCAGTATTTCACAGTACTCCGCTGCACGTTCTTTCTGCCACCTCTTCTGCAATATGCCCTGAGCCTTCATCAGTCATGGTGGTAGAGGTATGAGATGGGGAGTGTTGATCATGATGTCTCCTTTGGGGCTGAACACTCAGTCTGTTTTTTTCAACATTTGAACCAGTTTTGCATTTTTGCATTGGCTGCTGCCCACTGCAAAAAGAAGCTTTCCTGACCAAGATTGAGAGTCACCCAAGTCTCTGGGTATAAACATTAATATTTAGAAAGCTATTTGACATCCATTTAGTGAAATAACAATAGCATGTTCTACCCTAGGGCCTATGGCCACCCTAGCTTGGAATTTTGATCAGAATTATAGTAGTAGGCATGAAACTCTTCTCCTGTGGAGCAGACCTCAAATCCAATCAGAAAGCAGTTACCCTATAACAGTTGTGTCACTATTGCACAAGTGGGCATATCTTGCCTAGAGAAGGTTAGCATTTTAGCATGCAGACCCCAGCACTGAATAAGATAATTTGTTTTCTCCATTGATATCTTTTCTACCCCAGCAGCCTGCATAGTACCTTCTAGAATTATGTAAGATAGCCAGCAGGGAGAAGTTTTGTCATTAGTTTGAGATTGATTTCTTCTTGTACCACAGTTTTAGCAGCTTCTGTGTGCTGACCCTGGGCAAACACTTCCCTTGGCAGCTGCTTTCTGGGAGCAGGAAAGTCCTTTGGTGTTCTGAGCTTAGGCTCTTTATTTATTTATTTATTTATTTATTTTTTTTAGACAGGGTCTCCTTGTAGCCCTGGCTGTCCTGGAACTCACTATGTAGACCAGGCTGGCCTCAAACTCATAAAGATCCGCCTGCCTCTGCCTCCCAAGTGCTGGGATTAAAGGCGTGCACCACCATGCCCAGCCAGGCTCTCTCCTTTAAATGCACTTGTATTGCTCTAAACTGGAGGCTTTAATGGGTGAAGTCTTGTCTTCAGGCCATCTTTCTTGCCCCAATGCAGAGCAGGGGGTTTCTCTTTAATGGTGCTAATCTTTTTAATAATTATAGGTGCTTTGTCATCTGCACCCCTTGTTCACAACTTTGTTTGCTCATGTATCTTTCCTTACCAGACTCCATGGTTTTTAATTTTCTTTTTGCTCTGCTTATTATTCTCTCTTACTGTAGATCTGAATTAGAGCCATGAACAATAACCATGACACCACCCTATTGTTGCCTGCTTTGAAATTTCTCCACCAAACAAATTAGGCCATTGTTTTTAATTTAGTTTCACTCGTGTTCTTGAGAAATAGGTAGAATGTATGTAAATTGTTTGCCAGAATATAGCCTCAGTGACCTCTAGCCTAGTTCTCAAAAGATCCCTTTCCCTCTGAAACTTCATGAACTGGGCCTCCATGATCATTTTTCTCTGCCTTCTGGTCATCTGAACTCTCACCAATATGACTCACTACACTTGACTTACAGTATTCCAGGGCTTTTAAAAACTCTTCCATACTACTCCTACAATCTAGTTCCAAAGGCCTAAGAACCACACTGTTAAGTTCATCACAGCAAATCTCCCACTCTTGGTACCAATTTCTGTTTTACTTTTCTGTTGGTGTGACACAATACCCTGACCAAAGAAAAAGAAACTTAGTGGAGAAAGAACTTACCTGGCTTACATTTCCAGAAAGATACAGGTCCATCCAGGTGAGGAAGACATGGCAGCAGTCAGGGATGGCAATAGTGATGGGAGTAGGAGGCTGGCTGGTCACATTGTATCTATACTCAGGAAGCACAGGGTGAACAGGAACTGAGCCCAGACAATGAAGACTTCTTTCTGTTTCATCTTTCTGCCTCAGACTGTCTTCCAGCAGCACCATGACTTAAGCTTATGTGAACTTGGCCACTCCTGCCTAGCCATGAGCATTGCAGATTACTGTGAAAGAAAGGAGAAAAAGGCATTAGGGAAGTAAGGGGAAAATTAGGTGGAAGACCACAGGTCTTTAGTAACCATGTTTTGCATTTTTAATACAAAAATAGAAAAAGAAAGCAGTACAGTTACAAACTATAAAATAGTTTGACCCTTGATGAGGTTAAAAACTAAAAGCCCCACATTAGATGGGCTGAATTGCTATGTTAGTGCCCATAGTTTTAATGGTAATCTTTGTTAAGAATCCTCTGTAACTTTATCTCTCTGTCTAGCTAGCTACCTATCTATCCATCCATCCATCCATCCATCCATCCATCCATCCACCCACCCATCCATCCACCCATCCTTACCCACCCATCCATCCATCCACTTAGAGACACAGTCTTACTATGTAGCTCTGGCTGGCCTGGAACACACTGTGTAGATTAGGCTGGCCTTGAACTCACAGAGCTCCACCTGTCTGCCTCCTGGAATGCTAGGATTAAAGGCATGTGTCATCATGCCCAGCCCCTGTAACTTTTAAAATGCCTAAAGATCTGTAGGCTTTTCTTCCTAGAAATAACAAAACAAGTTTGCATGAGAGTTTCTGTACCAGAGAACTGCTGTCTTGCTGCCTTCCTGCCTTCCCCTGAGTTACACTGTATCTTTCTTTTTAGTCTGTTACTCAGATGCTCATGGCTTACTTGTCACGCCTTTCAGCTATTGCTGGCAACAAGATCAACTGTGGGCCTGCCCTAACATGGATGGAGGTAGTATCTAATCTCTTTGGTGGAAGCTTATTTTTAAATTATTTGTTTAAGAAATTTAAGTTGTTGAGTTTTAGAAATAAAGTATGTTTACAGTCTTCTGGGAGAATAGAGATCTGATATTTTTGATATTAAATCTTTCTCTGATAGTTTAGAAAACAGCATTAGTATATTTTATTAATCATGAGACTTAATTATTTTGATATTGTGTATACATTTAGGAAGCTGTATACTTTTCATTGATTTAATAATTGAAAATATTTTTGTTTACTTGTGAGTAAGTAATAGCCTTTTAGAGAGCTGAATTTAAGAGTGTCTTGAGGTACTACTATTGACTTGTGAATGTAGAATTATGTATATTCTCTTCTCTCAGTCAAAAGCAAGAAAGCAAAAAGGAAGGTAGAAATGATGTGGAACCTTGAGCCAGGCCAGTCTTCCCTAAGATCTTAACTTTTCCATTGTTGGTTGATAAATGTCAGAAGAATAATTTAATCTCTCTTATATTTCATAACCTTCCCCAGTTCATCTTTACCTTTAAGTGAGAGTAATGATAGTGTATTTTAGGATTATGAGAGTAAATGAAATCATGCCATATATTAACTGCCCAATAAATGATAGGGTCTTAAAATTTTTTATTTCATTTATGCATGTATATGTGTGGGCATGTGCTTGCCTCAGTGCTTGTGTAGAATCAGAAGACAACTTAACAGGAGTTGATAATCTCCTTCTACCATGTGGGTCCCAGGGATCAAGCTCAGCTCATCAGACTTGTGGGCAAGTATGCTTACTTGCTGACCTGTCTTGCTGGCCCCCATAAATGATAGGTTTGGTTTTTTTTTTCTTTTTTAGAAGACTTTTGGTGCTTATCTCTCTAAATTGAATCATTTTTTACAGGTGGGCTTGCCTTGAAACATAATACCTGTTCTTTATTACAGATTGACAATAAGGGCAACCATCTTCTAGTTCACGAGGAGTCGTCCATCAACACTCCTGCTGTTGGTGCTGCCCATGTTATTAAGAGGTACACCGCTCGGGCCCCTGATGAGTTAACATTAGAGGTAAATAATTGTCAAGTATTATTTGTACTTTGGTCCTTTCTGCCTTTCTAGTGTCATCTCTAGTGCCAGCTATTTTAATAATCCACCTAATTAAAAGCCTGAGGTTTTTTTTCTGTTGCCCTTCATCTTTTGCCCTGGAATGCTTTCTTTCTAGCTTTGTTGAAATGGTTATTCTTTTCTTTCAGCTTTCAGCTTCAGTGTCTGCCATTTCTACCAGGAAGTCATCCTGACCTTGCCACATGGGAATAGCTTACCCCAAAGCTGGGCCTGGTGCTGTTCAGAGCTGCTCTTTTCACCTCTCCACTTATAGTCCCAGTTGTCTTCTTGTCTCAGCACCCTCTTGAGAGCAAAGTTTGTCTTTGGCTTTGTGTTTAATGTCTTTTGGAAGACTGAGTTATCAAAGAGGGGGTGAAAAGAAAAATAAATCCTTCTTACTGTCATATGCAGAAGGAGGGTATTTAAGTTTTGTCCTCTAAAAATATGTGTTAGCCAATAAGAAACAAATGCTGACACACTTTCAATGTAAGAACCATCACTGTAACATCCATGGTTATTGCAGCACTGTTCACAGTAGCAACACTGTAGAATCAGCCTTGTTGTCCATCAGCAGGTGAACTGTTAAAGGAAAAAAAAATCTATATATACACCATGAAGTTTTATTAAGCCATAAAGAAGAATGATACTATGTCATTTTCAAGTTGATGGATAGAAATAGAGATCATCATATTAAGTGAAATTAGCCATATTCAGAAAGAGGAATACCATGTCTTCGCATATATGGAGTTTAGGTTTTACATATATGGAGTTTAGGATAAGGGACACACCTAAATCAAACCATTTTTCATAAGAATGCAAAGATTGATCAGTCTGAGGGAAGAAGACATATCTTGATTTTATTTTTATTCTCTGTATTTATCTTAGTTCTTGGTATATAATAAAAACATAGTAAATGTGTATTAATTGAGTGAATAAAAGCAAGAACAGTGCAAAGTTTTTACAATTCTCAAATGAACGTTTTCATTCTACATACAAAAAATACACGTCTTGAAAGATGCCATGTCTATTACTAAACATAACTTTGAAGATTGATTATTCATGACTTGAGAAATTAGTGTGAACATATGAATCAGATTCCTGAATATGTGCTATATGTTAACAGTGCTGTCAGTACTTAACTGTTTTTTCATAGCTATCAACATTTTCTTTATTTTTTTAATTGCTACTTTAGACTTTATTTGTACTTAAAAAAATTCTCTTTTGTCATAAGAGAAAACTCCCTGTTAAGAAATTAGTTTTAGGGTCTGGAGAGATGGCTCAGCGGATAAGAACTTGACTGTTCTTGCAGAAGACCCGGGTTCAAATCCCAGCACCCACATGGCACCTAACAACTGTCTGTAACTCCAGTTCCAGGGGATTCGACAGTCTCTTCTATCCTCCACGGGCATTACATGACATGGGTGCACTTATTTACATGCAGACAATTACACACATACACATAAAATAAAAATAAATAAAATATTAAAAAAAGAAATTAACTTTAAATGTTGTTATTATAAAGTATTATATCTCATTATTAAACCCTTAAAATGTAGGAAAATCAACCATAGTTTCACCATTTCAATATCTAATGCATATTTTCTTTTTAAGTTTAATTCTTCTTTAAAATTCTATTTATTTTAAAATCTATTCTTTAAGAAGTTCATACAGGTACACACTGAAATATGATCATAGCCACCCCCATAGCCCTTTTTAAATCCCCCATCTCCTTTAACATATTCACTTCCAAGTTGATGTCATCTTCTTTTTAAAATAACACACTAAGTCCAATTAGTGCTGTCTGTATGTGCATTTTCTTTTATTAAAGAATATAACTTTTAAATATATAATTTAAACCGTATTTTTTAAAAGTTTTTATGAACTCATGTGCTTGTCTTTTGCATTGAAGAAAACTAGTTCTTTAGTGGAAGTACTACATATTCTGAAAGAAGTGGGGTTATCACGTTAGACACTAATTATTTAGAAAAGCATAACTACTTTCTTCTGTCTCTTTTCTAAGCATGTTTTCCCATAACACTCTGGTCTCTTCAACATTGGGCTTCCAGCTCAAAAGGCATGGCCTTTTTCCTTCTCTCTTCATTCTCCTTTTTTGGCAGCTGTTGAGATTTACAGCTTGCCTGCCATGTTTTTTTCTTTCAACAAAATTGTCCTCAAGATTTAAAAAGAAGAATCCACTTGGACTTTTTCCTATAGAATTAAATAAAATGCAAGTTTTCAGTACAGTGCCTGTGTGTACATGGTAATTGATATTAATAGACTTCATTATTGTTCTAAATCTGAGTACATAAAACTATCTTTTAGAAGTGATTTTGATCACTGATAGAAACAGCAGGAACAAAGTCCAAAAGCTCCTTGACTGATATCCCAGTAAACTGACATCTTACTGAAAGTAAGTTGAAAATATGGTTGAGTCAGAATTGAATTAAATATGTCTAATATGTTGGTGCATCCTCACTTAGCAATACAGGACACTAGAGTATATGATACATGCTGATCACGTGGCTGACTGAGGGATGTGGCTCTCTGCTTCCACAAGCATCATAATTGGGTATCATGCATGCCACTAGCCTAGGAAAAGATGAACACTGAACATTTGAAGTTCAGTTTATACCAAATGCATGTTGTTTACACACAGAAAGTAGAACCATTGTAAACTAGAGACTGTATTCTAACAGAAGAAATGGTGATGAAGTGATGCCTCGTGACATTAAAAATGCATTTTGCTGAAATCTGACTTTTTGGAATTAAAGCACATCTGTTAGTTTTGTACTGTTTAACTTTTGGTAGAGTTTTCTTTAACAAAAGGTAGGACAGCAATATTACTTTTAAAGGGCAGTATGTTTTTCCACAATTTATTAGCTAGAGCATAAAATAGTATCCTTTTGTACGGTTGACCTTTTGTATAGTTCAGATCTAAGTTATAGATATAACATTATGTTTAAATATTTAGCAAAAGCCATTTTACTTAAAACTTTTGATTCTCTTAGGTGGGAGACATCGTTTCTGTTATTGACATGCCCCCCAAAGTGCTAAGTACATGGTGGAGAGGCAAGCATGGGTTTCAGGTAAGCAATAAAGATTAGATGTGAGAAAGTTCAAGGAACAATTTTATGAATGATTTTTAGTAAATTTTTATTTATTTGTATTTTATGCATATGAGTGTTTTGCCTGCATGTATTTAAGTGCACCCATGTCATCCAGTGTCTGCAGAACTCAGAGAGGGTATTGAATCCTCTGGAACTAGAATTACCAACAGTTGTTAGCCTCCATGTGGATATTGGGAACTGAACCTGGGTCTGCCGCAAGACCTAACCACTGAGCCATCTCTCCAGCCCCTGAGTGTTTTATAAGATGTGCTGCCAGTAGATTTGCCCACAGTGATCAAAAATGTGGATGGTATTAGACTTAATTCCTTCCTCTAGTTGTATTGTGGTGGCTTCTCTCTCCCATTCTTCATTCCTGAACTGGGCAGATCCAGAATGGGAGCACTCTCAGGCCTGAGAACCATGTTTAGGTGATCATGCCTTACGAATCTGACTTGCTTTTAGAATTGATTCTAAATCGTGATTCACATGTTTTCTGTTGCAATTCATTTTATAGAAAAATACTCATCCAATTGAGTACATTCTAACAGTGTATTAATTGCAGAACAGTAGAATGAGTTATCTCATTTATTTTTTCCAAATACACTAAATAATTTGAGACTTGACAATGGTATCTTTTTAATTGACCTAACACTAATTTTCATATAGTATATAGATTTTTCTCTTACCTTTTATAACTGTACATGGAGAAGCCTTTGAAAATGTCTTAAAATTTTATTCTTAATCTGTACCCTGTAGTTTTGGGTGGTCTTGGTAGAAACGTGGTTTCCTTAAAAAATGTTATGAAAACATAACGTGTTGATATTGTAAAGTTAGAAATTTGGTTACTATTTTGTAACTATTTTAAGCTTTACATATTTACAATCCTAATTACTAGCTTTTTATGAAAAGGAACTTAATTAAAAATATTAATGCAATAAAAACAGTACAGCATGGTATATAATTGTGAGCTCTGATGCCAGCCACCTGGGTTTAATCCTGTAATATCTAGGGCATGTTACTTAATGCTTTGTTATCTCAAATGGGGATTGCAGGACTATATTTAACCTCATAAATTTATCATGAAAGTTAAATGTGTGACGATAGAAATGGAAAGTGTTTATATCAAACTTAATATATTTATTTCACTCAATACATATTAATTTTAAAACTTAAACAGTTGGTGTTTTTTTTTTTACTTGACATTTTAAATTTCATCATTCTGTGTATAGAATAGTAGTTACAGCAATTTAGATTTTTTTTTTTTTTTTTTTTGGTCTTTTTGAAACAGGTTCTCTCTATAGCCTCAGCTGTTCTAGAACTCACTTGTAGACCAGGCTGGCCTTGAACTCACGGAGATCCACCTGCCTCTGCCTCCCAAGTGCTGGGACTACAGGTGCGCACCACAACGCCCGATCTAGCAATTTAATTTCTTAAGATTAGAAAAAAGTCCTCTCCATATTGCAGCATACCTTGTCTTGTTTGTATAATTCAAGCTCTTTGCTACTTTGCTGCTCTGAGTAATAAATGCTTTTGATGAAATGTAAAACTAGGTAGGAAACCAAGATTATTGTTTTTCCTATGAAGGAGTCAATTCTTGTCCTGGCAAGATGGGTAAGTGAGTAAAGGTGCTTGCCCTGAAGCCCAGTGACTGAGCTCAATCCCAAGGATCTGTATGGTGGAAGGAGAGAAGTAACTCCCACAATCAACTCCCAGAAATTGTTCTTTGACTTAAACTCACACACACATGCGAAACAGAGAGAGAGAGAGAGAGAGAGAGAGAGAGAGAGAGAGAAAGAGAGAGAGAGAGAGACTGATAAATAAATAAAGACATAAAAAGGAGTTGTTTCATATATTAATAGAAATAAGCTGTTAGACTTTAGTGTCTCAAAGGTGACCAAAACCAAATTTGGCTTTAAAACAAGTTGTGATTTGATCTTTGGCATTGCATTGCTGTCAGCTTTCTTCTCTGTAACCTTAGACACATTGAATGCTTGCTTTGAAGACTTCAATTTCTTACTAAAATCAGAAGATTCTACTCTTACTCCTTTTCAACATGTTAAATCTGTGGTTGTCAAAATAGTAGCACATTTTCTCTTATGTAACAGTTATTTATAACCTTTATATAACAAATATTTGTTGAGTAGTAACTCTACATTAGACATAAGACTTATTCTCTTAATTATTTTATTAAGATCCATACAAATTAGTTTGTCAGACTAATTCTTTTCAGAATCACTATAGGATTTAAATAGGAGTACTCTTGCAGAGAACCCAAGGTCAGATCCCAGCACCCATGTTTAGTGACTGAACACTGTAACTCTAGCTCCAGGGGATCCATTGGCCTCTTTGGACTTTTGAGGCACCTGCACTCACACATTCACATCCCCCTCACAAGTATACACATAATTTAGAAAATAATAAATCTTTTGAAAATATTTATTTTATGTGTATGAATGTTTTGTCTGCATGTATGTAAGCACACCCATGTCATCCAGTGCTCTCAGAAATCAGAAGAAGGCATCAGATTCCCCTGGAACTGGAGTTACGGTCAGTTGGTAGCTGCCACGTGATTGCTGGGAATCAAATCTGGGTCCTCTGCAAGAGTAGCCAGTGCTCTTAACCGCTGAGCTATGTCTTCAGTCCAAGAAATCTTTTTTTTTTTTTTTAAAAAGTACAAAGTCAGCATAATTAACTAGTATAAACCTAGTAGAAATTAATTTGTTACTAAAACATATAACTTAAAATCTTTTTTTTTTTTTTTGGTCTTTTTGAGACAAGGCCTCCCAGCTGTCCTGAAACTCACTATGTAGACCAGGCTCACCGAGATCCACCTGCCTCTGCCTCCCAAGTGAAATTAAAGGCGTGCACCACCACATCCGGCCTACTTAAAGTCATTTTAAAAATATTTTTTTTTAATTTATGTGAAATGTGTGTGTTCATTGTGGATGGGGGCCTGGAGGGCAGAAGAGGACATCACACTCCTTGGAGTTGGAGTTACAGGTGGTTCTGAGCTAGTGTGGATGCTAGGAACCGAACCAGGGTCCTCTGGAAGAGCAGCAAATGATCTTAACCTCTGAGTCATCTCTCCAGTGTCCAAAATCATTTTTTAATGAGATATAATTTATATTTGACAGTAAAATCTTGTTCATGGGGATTTTTCATATTCCTCGGTCTGAGGAAGGCAACCGATTCTGTAGATAGTGTTGGAGTGTGCCTCTGAGAACAACAGACCAATTTTAAAATATCACTGTCAAAACTTTTTTTAAAAAGAGTCCTATAATTTAAGAAAAGACTCCACAGAGCTCATTATTCCTTGCTGTTCCTACTCTAGTCATTTGTAAGAATACATTTGGCTAATTACATGAGAAGCATGAGTGGGGAAAAGTGTTGAACATCTTTTAGGAGAAAATGTTACTTGACATTTCATGTACAGTATTGTAATCTCCCTTTTTTATGAAAAGAAGACAGCTTTTGTGAGGTTGAATGAAGAGCAGGAGTACTAAATCAGTGAACAATGGATGGAGCAGGGATTCAAGTCCAAGGTGACTACATCCCATTTCCTGAAGAATACTAAGTATGGTTTCTGTTTTTATTATCCATTGGTATGAATTTTCTCCTGCAGTCTTTTATGCCTTTTCTTCTCAACCAGTGAAGAATACAGTTAAGATCAGCTAGTTTCAGACTGTGTGGCACAGCTGTTCGCTGGTAGAAGCATTGCTGTCACTGTGTATGAGCTTTTATGTAAAGATTGATATATTGTATGATAGCGAAGGCTCTTTGCCAAGCTACTTATGATTCCCTGTGCTTGTTAAGGAGTTTTAATTTCTGAGTTGTTCTCTTCCTGAGATACCCTGTTGAGAGAGGGAGATAATTATCCACGTACATGATAATTGTGAATCAGATCCCTTTTTACATCCTGATTCTCAAGTTTAAACATAACTGGAGTAATGGCTTAGTCCAGTGATTTTCATACTTCTTCATTTTTAAGTCTAGTAGAATTGTTAAACTATTTCACACAGAACCCCAGTCACAGCACAGATGAAGGTGGAGGTGTTCTGGTTAGCTCAGGCCAGTCTGGTGGATGGGAGGCCTCTTGCACCAGCCCAGAGGGGTCTCAGCAGAGCTAACAACTACTTCAAGTTACTAGTGGTCCTTATTTTATGTAATTATGTGTATTATAGCAAAATGTACCTAAAGTTTTAAATTTTTAGAAGTCAGTTAATAGTGTAAAAGTATTAAAGAAACAAGTTCTTTTAAAAAATATAAGCCTGGTCTGCATAGTGAGTTCCAGGCCAGCTGGGGCTACAGGGAGACCCTGTCTCAAAAAGACCAAAAAAAGAAATATATATATTATTTGTTTTATTTGATGTGTATGACTGTATTGCCTGCATGTATGTAAGTGCACCTATGTCATACAGTGCCCACAAAGTTCAGAAGAGGGTGTCAGATACCCTGGAACTGGAGTTATAGACAGTTGTTACTGCCATGTGGGTACTGGGAATTGAACCTGGGTCCTCTACAAGAGCAGCCAGTGCTCTTAACTGCTGGGCCATCTCTCCAACCCCAAGAAACAAGTTCTTTATAAGAATAGTTTTATGTGACACCTTGTAGAAAGACAGTGTTTGGCTTTTTAAATTTCTCTAACGTTAATTTGTATCTGAATTCCTTGTATTTAATATGTTCTGGTATAGATGGGTGAAAGTTACAAATTCAGAAGGCACGCTAGGTGTGGTGGCACATACCTTTATCCTAGCACTCGGAAGGCAGAGGCAGGAGGATCTCTGTGAGTTCAAGGCTAGCCTGGTCTACATATTGAGTTCCAGGCCAACTGGGGCTACAGGTAGACCCTGTCTCAAAAAGACCAAAACAAACAAACAAACAAACAACCCACCAAATTTAGAGGGCAAAAATGGTGTGTGTGTGTGTATGTGTGTGTGTGTGTGTGTGTGTATGTATGTGTATTTACTGTTATTGGACAT